CTTTGATATCTTATCGAGGGTTCACGATGAGCGAGTTGATTACGAGTTGACGTAGGTATAATTTACTTAACAGGGAGCTAGTTAGCTTTGTCCTTCGTTATTTACCAGCCACACACGCCAAATATTTCCACCGTGACGCTATGTAAGGTTTTTTTAAAAATACTAATGTCCAATGAGAATCTGCTGAAGTTAAATGAATTGTTATATTCGAACTTGGTAAATGCTCCTGGTCAAATATCTGAAGTTTTCGGATTGATAAGTGTTATAACAATCACGGTTATAGCTTCTGAAGTTTATAGCACACTGCCTATAGCAAACTAATAATAGATACTCCTTCTTTGGCGCGTCGCGTTGGTTGTATTTATAGGCGTGTGCAGGCTTTCTCGAAAATTCAGATTACGTGACAGTATTAAGCTACATTTAATCGTTTATGTACATACATATATTGTTGATTCTTACTCTCAAGAATCTTCTACAACTTTGGAGAATAAGTGGGAGTTTCGTAATACATATCTAACACTATAAGTTATGCATATTTCTGAATATAAACTTAATCTAAACAAATGTTGATATTAAAATAAATATATAATAATAAATCCGTCACAGAATGGAAACTTTCATGTGGAAAAGTTTCCAGGATATCAGGTCAAGGATATAGGAGGAAAGCAAGTTTCTATATGGGCTTTTTCTTTAGATCCATCACTATGCTAGAAAGATTCAAATGACATTCTCAGTGATCATTTACATCAAATCTACAGACATCTTACAGACATGACAAAAACGTAAAATAAATCCTGGTGCACAGTAACCTTAGACAAAACCAAAATGATACTCCAGGCACTCACACATGTAAACGAAACAGTTGTGTCACCTGCCCACATATAAACAGCATTATACATATACGAGGAAAAAACACAACTTTCGACATAAGACAGTCCTTTGCATGTACCACTGAGTGTATCATTTACTGTATAATTTGTAATAACTGCAATAGTTTATACATTGGACAAACAAAACATCTAAACCATATTAAGCTGCATAAGCAGGATACACCTATAGGTAAACATTTCACTATATAATTGAGGACTTTTCGATTCTTGGACTTATTAGTGCTCCGACAGACAATCACAAAAAAGAACGACTGGAAAGGAGATTAATCTATAATCTGTGGACCCTACAACCACCTGGTGTAAATGAACGCTTTTCATTCCTGTAGATTTATATTTTTCCATTTTTATTTATATTTTAATTGCTATCTTCTTATATTTTCATGACTTGTAATTTTCATGTAATAGATTTAATTTTGCTTCGAATTTTCACGCTCAGCATTCCAAATACTACGCACGCAAGTTCTTTGAATTCTGCGCATGCGCCTTTGTTGTAAAATGTATGATTTGAGGAAGAGCGCTAGCGCGAAACGTCATCCTTCTTTAAATAAAAATATAGAAACTTGGCGATTGTTCAACCTATTATTAAATTTTGATATTTTTGTCGACTATTTGGTTTCAACTATATCTTTCTTTTTATATTAACTTACCTGTCAGTTCTGTTACATTCGGAGATACTACAGAATAAGTTATTAAGTTATAAGCACGATGCTCTGTATCTTAGAATTTCGTTTTTATGGATTTATGCCATATGTGCTTCAGGGTTTACCATTTACACTATTTGAAGTCTGTATTTCATAGAAATAGAAAATGATTTCCAAAGTTAATAACAATTTATGGTTTAGAAAAATAACTCGCAAGATCTGATAAATCCTCTCTTGGATTAAGGCATTTCACCACATATGCAAAGGGTCATGCCCTCATTCTCTATTAGGCCTACATGGCTTAGAATCCTATACAAATTTACAAAGCTTATTACTTGTTTTTATAATTACACAGACTGTATATTGTAAATTTCACATTTCTTGACCATATTAAACTTTGACAAATGGTAATTTTACCCGTTACTGTTAATTTGCTTTTCCTCCATTTGTTTAAAAATGTTATTATTTCTATTAATGTCACGATTTATATCACTTATATCGTTTATTTGTGTTGAATATTTTCTATATTAATATATGAAATATTTTACTTAGATTAATTTTTTCCACTAATTAAAACAAACAAAAAATGGATTTCTAGTTCTACCAATCCAAATGGTTTTACATTTTTTTCAAATGTAATTTCAAATCTTGACCAGCTAGCAATTTTGTTTAATAATTGTAAAGTATTTAATAATGATATCTCAATTCCATCTAAAATAATTATTATTTCATCTGAATATTTAGAAACAACTGTAGTGGTGTCTATATTATTTTAATAATATTGTGACCAACAAGCACAGTCAACCTCCATTACTGATTGAAATTTATAACAAGGAAATGTCTTGAGAAGTCAAAGTCCACTTAGAGAAGCTGCACTCCAATAAGATTGAGCAACAGGCATTCTACCGAAAAACCGATGATTCTTGGCTCAGTCGTGAATTTTTGAGGCTAGAAAGGTGGACATACAAATCTGCCGGAGATCAGAAATAACTCAGGGATGCGAGATAACGTGCATACAACTTGGGTATGAATAATAAATACATTCTTAGAGATGCTAGAGTTCGTGAATCCCAAAAACAAATAATGTGGCTATTTGTATTCACTTTTATTGTTCAATGTCATTAGGGTAGAACCGATTATTCCACTGAAACTTACTATTTAGGAGGAGTTAGACTGTTTCCTGAACCGTTACCTAAAGTTGTTTGTCTAATGGTAAGTTTGAATGAATCATTGACCGATAATGTAGGGTGCTTGATGTAGCAGTAGTTTGATGAATGAAGAATGAGCAAAGCCATGTTACATAGACTTTCTAGTCCTTTTGAAAACAGATTTATACGCTGGACCAGGTTCAAAGCTTAAAATGTGGACCATACGAGATCTTGGTCATTTATGTCAACATGGCATTAAACTCTAAGTCTTATTGTGAAAGTCAAATAGAGGCTCTTGGATAGGCTCAACATCTAGATGGCAAAGACCTTTTGTTAGGATAATATTTGTAATGGTAAGCTTGAGGGGAAGTAAACAATATCATAAAACAATTTACAAAAATAAAAAAAAATTAAATAATTAAAATACTTTCGTTCATCATTTCGATACTCTTGCTATTATCGACAATTCCAACACAAACGCCAGTCACAACATTATTCTGCTCTGAGAAAAGTACGTTACTTGTTGTCATTGATGGGATTACATTTACAACATTTCAAGACCTTTTTAAAACTATTATGACTACAGCTTATTGTTAAACTATAATTTTTTATTTAAATTTAACGTTATTTTTCTCTTGTTGTTGTGAGTTGTATAACATATCAGTGTATAGTACAACATGATGTCCTTAGTTCAGACAAATTATTATCTAGTTATTTCATAATATCATTGGTTGTTATATTTGCCATTATTGACATTTAAGTTTTTATTAAATTAACATATAAATGTAATAATTTTTTCTCCAACCAAGCCTTATGACTTCTGGTTAGCACTTAAAATTTGACTATATTTATTACTTCTAGCTCCTCACTTTCACCATTTATTATATATATATATATATACACACACACACACACACACATATATATATATATATATATAGGGATAGTTTTGATAACTAAGTCTGTAATGTTTTTGCTTTGCATTACTCTCGTTCATTTCTGTTTCATGTTTTGTAATTCATTGAACGATGATTATTCTTTTTTCTTTCAACTGTATACTCACATCTATTTTTATTTAACTTCATTTATCTTTGAAATCAACCTAATTAGATTCACTCAGTTGGTATCGAGAAATTGGTTTTTACTGACCATTGACTGTTGATTGGGACCATTATATATATTTTTTTTTTATAATTGTGACATATTTTCTTGCGATTCGCTGACAAACAAACGGTATATTTCTCTAAATAGGCCACTATTTGCTCTTGTTTATGATTTTTAGTGTTTTTGCTTTTGTTGTTTTCGTCAGTTTTTGTTACATTACTGATAATATACAAAGAGTTTTAAGTATAATTTGGTCTTGTGTATCGGTAAGTCACGTGAAACTCATATGCTAATGACTGGTGTTTTCTTCATTTTTTGTTAATAATGGCCTACATAATTACTTAAACTATTTTCTTTATTTTTTTTTTTACATATTGGATCGTCTAGTGGCCTAAAACCAGAGTTTCTTTTACAAAACATGTTGGATTTATCTGTTTTCTATTTTCATCAAATAAAAATTAAGTTCCAATAATTTATTAATTATCAAATTTATTGAACGTATGGGAAATATTAACAAAATCATTGCTACCATCGTTCCCAGTTTTTGTGGTTATATTTTCAAATTGCTATTGGTTAATTTATGCATGATTGGGTTTGTCAGCGCTCGTTTATCAAATAATTATTTTGCTCACGATTTCCAAAATCATTTAAAATGGTGTTTATTATTACCACACTTGTCATGCCACTTGAAAATGAGGTAGTTATATATTTTTTCCTTCTTGTTTCTTATTGGGATTATTTTAATCACCTTTACGATACAAGAGAAATCTGGGCCACGTTCAGCTTATACAGTGCACTCTAAAAAAAAGTCTGTCTTACCTTTGTCAGTAAGCTTCTCAGCTGGTTTAAGAGTGCTGGCTGAAATGATTACTGCGTTACTTTGTCCTTTTGCATTAAATGCATAAACAAATAGCCTTAAGAGTTTTCCCACAGGAAGATCACACAGCAGGAAACGTGGGAACTTAGAAGTTAGGTTAGCTTCAAGTTTGTTGCTTTCAACACTATAAGCATAGAGAGAGAATTGTTGCATCATTCCTCCGTCGTAACTCTCAAGGCACTCAATGGCTATTTGTTCTTGAGTCTGATTGACAACAGAGCAGTTTTGGGGCGGACTTGGTGGACCTAAAATTATTATTTTTTTGCATTACTAAATAAAATGAATGAATGTTTCATTTGAAATGAGTGCTTTCTACATGTAGTAGACATTGAAAAATATAGCATCATATCATACTGCCATGCAAGATCTGTCTAAGAAAAAACTGTAGTTTCTTAATCCATAATATAGATAACTATTTGAATAATTAAGAAAATCTGAATATATAAAAGGTTGAGAAAATACATTACAATCACTCATGCACATTTTTCTATCATTTGTAATTTTATTTTGCCAAGAAACAAATTTCATATATGCTCAACATTAGCCATTAGAAATATATATTATAATTACTGAATTTATATACATATTTTCAATTACATAATTCTTTTACAATTTCAAATTTTTATATTAAAATGTATAAGACCAAATAGAAAGTTCTTAAAGAAAAAGAAAAATTTACAAGTCTCAAAATTGGCTTTGGACAATTGTCTGAAATGAAGTGCATATTACAAAATGAAAGTTTATTTCCATAATATTAGTTAATGAGCATTAGAAAAGAAAAAAAACATCTTTAAACATGCCATTATGTTAAAGTTATGTTTCATAAAAGCTGAGGTTGACAAAACTTGTGGGAAAATCATGTATGGAGTATGTATATATGGAGTATAATATATTATCAAGAAAGGGAAGTAGGGTTATGAAGATAATGAATTGTGTTCAAATGAGGTTCAATACGAACGTAAGTATGAGGAAGTATTATTGCTACCAATTTGCTCGTCCAAATCCTAATTACAGATTTTAACTTTAGATTGAAATATTGTATTTACTACTCTCTTATTTAATGAAAACATTGTGATTTACTACAGGAGGTTAAAAGGTTAAATTATGTTTTTCAAGTTCTAAGTGAAACGGAATATGATACATAACGTTATACTTGGGCTTACTGAAACTTCTGTAATGCATAATGAACTGAACGTTTTTACTACTATGAAATGAAGAAAACCAATTACGAGTGGACGTATTATGATAAAAGAAACCCACATGACTGTTTATAATTTCAGAAAATATCTTGATTACAAAATTAAATATTTATTCATACTTTTTGCTCACTGCTGTGTTTCTCAGTGTAAAACCTAGAGTAAAACACAAGGACTAGAGAAAAAAAAGTTTTTGATTAAACACTGTTGCCCAAGTAAATGAAGACTGATGCTCTAACATTGCCAAAATTAAGTTCCTTCAAGACTGGATGACAAGCTATTCTAAATAATCATTTTGTTTTTAATTTTTTTGTTGTAGGTGATGGATGACGTTGCTTTTGTGTCTTTTTTTTTTGGAGTGTAAAATTTTAAAAGATTCAAAAGAGTTGCAAATAAAAACTAAAATGCAAAAGTATGTGAAGTGTAAAATAAAGTTATATTCTAGTAATTATAGAGGATTAGGAGATAAATAACACAGGAGAGATATATTTGTTTACATACGAGAGAAAACTGCCATGTGTATTGTCTACAATATGTTCATTTCCGTGAAAACTTTAATTTAGAGGCTATAGTATTTTACTTGAAATCTATAAAAATAAAATATGAATTTAAAAAACGAGCACGAATTAGAAGTAATGACTTTAGTACAATTTTGGAATAAAAAATATTAATACTTTATATCAAATATATCAAGAAAAATGATTTAGTTAGAAAATTTATAAAAGAAAAGATAAATGTTTTAATTATTTGATCTAAACCAAAATGTATTAAATATAGTGTAAAAGTTATTACTTGTTTCTTAAATTTAGAAAAGAATACATAAATAAAACAATTTCAAAAACAATAATAAATAGGAATGAAACAATAATTGAATAAAATGAGATTCAAAATATTGTAAGAAATAGTATAATGGTTTTGTCATGATATAAAAGACTGTTTAGTTTAGATGTTATTGATTATTTTATTTTTGTGAGTGAATATTTTATTATTGTTAAGTTTTTGTTATAATAAGAGTTAAAAGCAGACGATTGTTGGAAGTTGTGTTTATAATTCATTGATGTCGAGGCTATCGAACGTTACGTGCAATACATTGACGTCGAGAATATAGAGATTTCTAGAAGGCGTGCAGTAAATCTACAATATAAATAATGTGTGACGAGCAAAAACAGCAGACAGTCAATAGTAGAAGAGAGTAAAGTTACTGACAAGGAAAAGTTCGGCGTGAAGTTAACTACAGTATAAGTGATTGGCCTAACGTTTAATATGTTAGAGTAAGACTAACAATAGAAAAGAAGATAAGAAGAAGAATTATTCAGTCAAAGCGTGGTTCTAAAGTAAATGAAATAGCCTGAATGTATTTTGACAAAGGAACAGAGAAGATTTTGAAAAAAAGAAGACCAAGTGATTATGGTAACTCTCACCACAACTGTAAGTGAATCACACACAGAATACTAGTACGATAGTAATAGAGAAGATAGTTCGGCTTGTCAACTAAAATTCTAAAGTAATTGAAAATGCCTAAGTGGACTTTTGACAAGAAGAAGATAACTATATATATAGTGTTTATGATATACTTATAATCTCTATAGTGTGAAAAATTTGTTGTACATATGTTTAACTTGTTCCGAATATATATATTATTTTGAAAACAGGTGGAGTGTGTGCTGGTCATTTATCGTTAAATTTATCGCCAACAAGTCACAGACAACTACTGTAGAAGAACCTAAGCCCAACAACAACACAATATATATTTATACTATTAAGAAGTATAAGTAAACGACTTTTTATTTTGACAATTGGCGAAAAGAATTATATATTAAATTCTGAGAAATTTATTTAAAATGAGAGATCACAATTTAGAGGATATTGATTTAAATATGCTATTAATACATTGACGTCGAGAATATAGAGATTTCTAGAAATTTGTAGAAAATAGAGAAAACTTAGAGGGATAATTGAGAAGTTGATGGTATTAAAAATACAAAAATGAAATTAATCACCAGGAATTGATAATTCTACATTAGAATTATTTACATCATTTTGGCAGGATATATTAATTGTGTAGAATATGCAGCTAACGACGTATGCAAAACTGGAAAACTATCTATAATACAAAAGCAAGGGTATTATAACTCTTATCCCAAAACATGTTAAATCAAGAAATATTTTACAGAATTGAAGATCAATGGCTTGATTAACTACTATTTATAACTTAATTTCAGGATGTATAACTGAAAATTGTGACACTATTATTGATCTATGAAGATCAAAAAGGTTTTAGAGAAAGGATGGTTTTGTGGGAGAAAATTAGAATATTATAACAACATATGACAACACAAGTTTTACAAAAAAAGGAAATGTATCAGGCTGTTACTTGAGTAAGGAAGCACATTATGCTAATATAATAATAGGTAGGAAAACAACGATTTATAAACTTAAGGAAAAGTGTTATTGATGGTGAAACATACTTCATATTTTGACAGAACATTGGTCTGTCGTCTTCAGGTATTATGATCAGTACAAAGCTATACAAGGTTTATTTATTGTTACAAAGGCAAAAGACACAGTGATTAAATATCATGGAAATGGTGTTAGCAGGTTACAGGATATAGATAGAGGTCAAGTCTGGTCAAGCATATGAACGTTGAATAGACCTTGCCAAATACGGCTGATGTTGCTAGGACCATTATCACGGTTTAGTGAGAAATCGTTTGTTCTTTCTTTCTTTCTTTTTTTTAGATTGCTCTCCAGCGGCACAGCGGTATGTCTGTGGACTTACAATGCTAGAAACCGGGTTTAGATACCCGTGGCTAGCAGAGAATGTGTAACCCGTTTCATATTGATGATATGTTAACGCATATATCTGGAACTCACCTCAATGCATATAACTTTGATGTTCACTGCCTATTATGTGTTTCTTTCCACATTCAAATGGTATACTGTATGTGCCCCGGTTTTTTGTTTTCTTTTAACAGGGATTCTTTCGGATTAGGTAGTAGGATGCCAATTTTATGTGAAGGTTTGAATAAAGTTTTTACATCAGGGCTCTTACTATAATGAGACTTTGAAAAGGCTTTAGGTACACTGTCTTGGACTTTTAAAAATTCACATTTCTTTGGAAATCTATCAAAAAATTGATATACATTTTTTCTATCAATAGATACAGATATAAATACATTTAAAGAATAAATCTCGTGTATGGATTTAAACACTATTTAACACTGTTTAAATAGTCATTATGAGAGTGTTGAAGGTAGTGTTGAAGAGCAAAACGAATCAGCTTTTCGGATACTAATATAGGTAATTTAGGGACATTGTTTAGATTAGATTCTACCATAAGTCAACAAGTCAACATTTTGGTTTTTATATTTCCATTCTAAATATTATTTACTCTTAGAGATTAAAAATGAATGAATTCATATTTTAGTACATCGTGCATATAATAGTTAGTTTTGTTTCCGGATTTTGATGAAGAAGTTTTAAATATAAATAAAGTAATTCAAATAAACGATTTTGCTCTTTATTTACTCGATAGGCACTTTCAAAAGGGTGTCCTAACGGGCTATTTTCCGGATACGACCCCCCTCCCCTCCCCTTACGTTAGGTACAGAAGTAAGTGGGGACAATGGAGGAGCTTTACTTTTCTAAAAATTATCGAAAATGTACTTTGAAACATAATACTTGTAAAATTAATTTTTAAAGACTAGTTATAATATTAGATCGGTACATTCTTTTTTTCTTTTTAATATCGTACTCAATACTTCCCAGGGAATTATGCCTATGATCCTTAAAAAAAGTTTACTTAAAACCCTTTCATTTTTGCAAATGCCAAATAACGTGGCTCAGTGATAAGTCTGAGAGCTTATAATCATAAAAATCAGGTTTCGATAGCCACGGTGGGCAAAGCACTTATAGCTTATGGTGTAGCTTCGTTCTTAACAACAAACAAAACGTGTAAACCTACACTGGACTTAGATAAGGAAATATGCGACGATAAAAAGTATTTAATCCATCTTAATCAGTTTTTGCAATTCATTGTTGAAAAAAAAAAAACTTTGGTTGTCTTTTATCCTAGCTTGAGGATAAAACTATCCAATGAGTTATATACTGTGTCCACCGCAAGAATCGAAATGTGAAATTTATCATTACAACCCTTAGCCGTGTCTCCCGATCTAAACAATGAACTTACCTCTTGCTATACTATTTTTCATATTGCGTGTATTATATCTCTGACCTTTCTTATACGATATTAACGCTTTAAAATAATTCTAAACCAAATTAATAACATTTATGTTAATATGAAATTTAGCTAGTGCACCTTTAGCTAGGAAATTTTTGAATAACAGTATTTGATATTATCCATTAACACTTTTAATGCGAGAAATGTCAAAATTGCTATTTAACGAAACAGGAAGAAAGTGAAATACTTACTGATGTGAACACAATCGTTCACCTTTCCACATGGTTAACATTAGCAGAACATAAGATATCGATTAATTCATTAAAACTTCTAAACAAAATAATATTAACAAACAAAGTTAAGCTTTTTTAGCAAGTTATAATAAATATTTAATACCAGAAGGTCACTTTTTATTCTTTTTGAAAATAGTTTTCTTTTATACAGAATATAAATTAACACTCTTTAATACCACGTAACGCTACACGTACATTCAACTACGTATTGCCTCAAACTCACCTACGGGTATTACTGTAAAGACACAAGGATGTTTCTGAATACCAATGTCGTTCGTACCCCAGCAAGAGAGGTTTCCGTAATCATCCTTTGTCCGGGGAACATACGTGACCCTACTGACCGCCTGCTCGCTGGTGTATTGTATCTGATCTGAAAGCTTAAACGATGTGTTGAAGCGCCATTGAAATGTAATATCCGTTGGGTTAGCGTCTAAGTGACACATTACTTCAACTGCTTCGTTTTCAGCAATGCCATATGTAGATTTTTGAGAAGGGTCACATCGAGGAGCATCTGTGAGCAAAATAAAACAGAAATCTTGAAGTTCGAGAACCAAATAATTGGGCACAGAGGTAGAAATATAATTAACCATTAAAACAGAAGTAATTATGGACTATCGAGAAAGAAAATGCATCTCTTGCTCTTTTTATAATACTAATCATTTGTGCAAAAGTGTAAGTTTTGACGGATTTATTATTATATATTTATTTTAATATCGATGTATGTTTAAATGAAATTTATATTTAGAAATGTACATAAGGTATATTATTAAATATGTGTTACGAAACTCTCGCCTATTGTCTAAAGTTGTAGAAGATTCTCGAGTGTAAGAATCAACAATATATGTGTGTACGTAAACGCTAGTGTAACTTTGTATTGTTACGTAATCTGAGTTTTCGAGAAACTCCACACGCCTATAAATACAAGCAACGCGACGCGCCTAAAAGCCGTGTATATTATTGGTTTGCAATAGTTGGTATACTATAAACCTCGGAA